TATGTTACGGTTTTGTAACCCAGCCAGTTTAAAAACTCTGGGTGGCATACAACAGAGTACAAATTCAAAATCAAAATAAAACAAGCAAAAAAGAAAACTGAACAGAAATTTGCCAGGTGGCCATCAGAACATTTAGCCCTGTTAAAAGCATGTGGAATAGTGTCGTTCTAAGTGCTTTACAAAATGTCAGCAAGGAGGGAGCTACTCAAAGCCAAAGAGTTCCATAGTAGAGGGGTTGTAACAGAGAAGACCTGCCACCTGGTCCATATCTTACATAGAATGAGGACTCCAAGCAGGCTTTCTTGTTATGTTCCTACTGGACAGGCAGATTCAACTTTGGTGTACGTACTCAAGGTGTGGTAAAATTCTCTTTACACTTGCCAGTATGTTAGTAGGATTAAGACATCATACGTTGTCATAATGTACATGTGATGAATTACCTAACTTTACTATATTTTTGGCCACACGTTTTCATATAATGGACAACAGTTTTCCTTTGTTGTTTGTCATGATGATATTGGCAGAGATAATTGATCAGCTGGTTACATGAATGCAGTGGCACATTACCAGCTGATAAAGGTTTCAAAAGGTTTTGCTTACCAATCAAATAAGTGTATAAAGTGTTACAATTAGATTAGTTAAGGTTTGCAGACAGGTTGATTTAGATTGTCACAGAGAGGTTGCTAGATATATTAAAGAAAAAAGTGGTTCTTAAAGTAGACATCATCCATTAAGAGGTGTCTAAACTGTGTATGTATGAGTGTAATTATATTTAAGCTTGGTTAACTACAAATGTTGGCAATGTACACCTTCTGTAGCCCAGTTCATTCATGGTATCGGAGATTAAATAGAACAGCAAGAATTGCCAAAAGATAACCTCCGTCTCGGAATGCAGTAATTGCATGCAAGAGTTGGAAGGATATAAAATAGAAGGGAAATTATCTATTATGGCTCAAACATTGATTTGGGGAAAGAAGACATCTTACAGAACCAAGAGAGACTTAAGATGTCTCAGAGTTTCTAACTTCTAAACCTAAAGGCATTTATTCCTGGTTCAGTTGGTAACCTGTACGGTACAGTAACAAATAGTATATGATTTTGTTAATGGTTTTTGGTATAGCTGTATAATTTATACTCTAAAAGACTGTAGAGATGACAAATAGTTTGACAGTATCATACTTAAGCAGAATGCTATCTTTTCTAAACTTTGCAAGATGAATAGCAGCTTAAAATAACAAGCCTTTTCGTATAAAATACGGTGCAGGTGAGTTAGTTGAAATGACAGTTTTTAAAAAAACCAAGAGTAACATGTACATAGCTTCATTCTACATTTTATTTAAGGTTGTGAAATTTTCCATTGGCTTCCTAATAATATAATATTTTGTTCATGCTACTGTATATTGTATACTGGTAAGTACAATTAATTGAAATGAAATGTAGGCAGAAGCTTATTGTCACACTAGGTTTGAAATAATGCTCAGAATTTGTGTCTGTAAGTCCTTTAGAATGCACTTTACTGTTAACATTGGAGAGACAATATTAATTGTAGTACATTTCACACTTATAGGCAGGGGTCCCCAACCTTTTTTGGCCAATAGGCACTTCTGGAATTTTGAGATACAGTGTGAGCTCTGTAGCTTCCGTGGGGAGGTAGCTTGGCCATTCACAAACAGGTTGCAAGTCTGATGGGACACAGAGTCTGGAGGATATTGAAGAAGTCTGCAGGGACACTGATGTCTGTGAGCACTGTGATGGAGACCAGAAATGTAAAGCCTAGTTCCTATTGAGATGCTAAACTAAATGTACCTAGGCTGCATCACTCTGTGGCATTATTTTTTTTTAATCCTGTACATAAAAAGCAATATCATTGGGGAAACTAGGCTACAGCATTTCTCCCTAACAAGCTACATTTCTATATACTGTATACGTATATACAGTATATAGAAATATATTGCATCACTCTGTGGCATTATTTTTTTTTAATCCTGTACATAAAAACAATATCACTGGGGAAACTAGGCTGCAGCATTTCTCCCTAACAAGCTACGTTTCTATATACTGTATACGTATAGGTATCATGTGGGGAAAGAGTCCTGGTTTATAGTCTGAAGTAGTACAAACCATATACATTTTTATTACCTTGGTGAAATGCTAATCTTATCCTCTGGTGAGTAGCAGTTAGTTGCATTTGGTTTGGGATTTATGTTGAATAATCCTATTTAGGAAAAATGAATTAGCTTGCAATTTCCATATTAACATCAAAGGAAATGTGAAGATATCCACATATATTCCTTGTCACTCTGAGAGAATTGTTTTTACTTCAAGGAGTAGTGATTTTGTTGCTTCAAGCATAAGTGGAACTTGCCATTCATGTTTCCATAGAAACAGAAAAACACAAGAAGTGGGTGACGTTGCCATGCTGTAGGTATTACATGTTTTTGCTGTTGCCATCTGTGTCATTAAAATGACTGGTGTAACTAAACTATGACTACTTTTTATCAAATACAAGGTATACCCTGTTAATCTTTGAGATGTCAAATGATGCCACTTGTCATTCATTTCTAGAATAATATAGGTTCTCCCATTTAAGTCTGCCAGAAATGCTAATTTTGCTCATATGAGCAACAGCAGACTTCAGAATATGTCTCTATTATAATTTGGAGCACATGCAAGGACTTTGGAAGCACATTTAATGTATATTTAGACCTAATGCAGAGTCTTCTGGCACTGTTTTCTACTCATAGAGGGGGATTAGTCCATTATTCAACATACTATCTATCCAAGTAGCTTGTTGGCACCAAATTGGAGTTGAAAAGTATCATTAGACATATTCAAAATTTCAATTGGCCAGAAATTCTAGTTTATTGTTTATAAGAAACATGCTGGTATACAACGTATGTAAGGTATGCTCCCTGTTGCATAAATAGCTAAAACTAACCAGGAATGGACAACTTATTCTTATATTTAAACATGGAATCCTGGTTTGTTTCTTGGGTTCACAGTCTGGAGCTGTCGCTGTTTCATGAAGTTTGGCTTGTTTGAGAACAATTCATCAGGATCCTTGGTTTAAACATTGCAATAAGCTGTCCTTTCCTGGTTAGTTTTACCTGCTCATTGAAGGAAAAGATGAATAAGCTGTCTTCACTAGAAAATCCTTCACAATAAGCCCAGAATTTTGGTATATTGTTATGCCTCCATCATCTTCATTGCATGAATCTGGTTTATTATTAATGTTCTAGAGTAGTACACCTGGAAACTGCAATGTACCCTAACCCTAACTTTTGATGGCTATCATATTCATTCCATCCCAGAAAATTCCTCTGTCTTCAATTTGGTAATCCCAGAAATTAGACTTCTGGAGCAGGAAATGGTGGGCTGAAGACAGCTCCGCAAAAAATGGAGCTGATGACTGCAGTGGAATGAAGAGCCAGCGAGCAGACTGGCTCTTCAAAAGCTCTCCAGATGAGGAGAGGACTTGAGATTGCCCACAAGTGCTCCAGACAGCTGCTCTTCATGAGGAGACTGCAAGACAGTGGTCTCCAGCAAATTTAGAGCTCTGGGAGATGAGGGAATAGCCATCTTGCTCAAACCATGGTTT